CATCGCAGTCGTACCACTATGCTTCCTATACCGTACCTATCATCTGAAATATATCTGAAACATATACAGGGTTGTTCACCACATACGACACGGAGTATTATAGCTAAACTATGAGATTTTTACAAATTGTAAGTTTTGGGTTCGATGAAGGACTATTAGAGGTACAATTTAAAAATAATTTTACAAGATACAGAGTGTTCCAAATAAGTAAAAAATATCAAAGTTGTATTTTTTAAATGGAACACCCTGTATATTATTACATTTTTAGTTTCTACGATTAAAATAAAGGTAAATTTGATTATGGTTTATTATACTTAAACCTTACCGTTTTTGAAATATTTTCAATTTTGTGAAATTGCAGTAAAAATTTTAAGGCGTCATTTCTCCAAGGGTATCAAAGTTTTTATTACTAAATATTTACTGAAGTTTATTTACTGATCAGTTATTGTGTTGCAATAATAAAAATAATACTACCTTATACAGAGTGTCTAAAAATTTATTTTAAATAATTATTAGCTTCAAACGGCAAGAACTTGTTTAATTTAAATGGAACACCCTCTATATTTTACGAGAATCAGATGCACAATTTAATTGTCTATCAAATTATATTATACCATTTTTTACCTATCTCTTTAAGTTTCCGTAGAAAATGCATTTTCTTGTAATTTAGAACTTATTTATCAATATACCCATGGACTATTGACATTTTAGATTAATTTTAAAGATGTACCAAATTTTTAAAGAGTACAGATACTAATATTGTCGATATAGTTCTTGTAGTTCATTAAAAATAAAAAGAACTGTTTAAATATTTGTTAAAGAGGACCAAAATATGATTCCAGTATTGAAACTACATTAATTGACTGTTTGCGTTGATTAATAATAATTGCTCCAAATACTAAAAAACTGAATTTTGTATGGGCATTAGACAGTGTGATAAAAAGTAACACCTTAAAAATGATATTTCATTTTTTAATAAATGCTTATTTATAACAACAGGGACTTTAATTTGATAACTTATTATTAGATTGATTTCTGACTCAAATCCACATTTATTTATAATAATTTATTAACGAACACAATTAAGTATGTAATTAATTAGTATATGGGCGGAAATAATGGTGTTATATTTAATTAATGGTATACTCTTTTATAAAGATTTAAATAGTTTTCTTTTTGCATACAAATGGGCTAGTAATATTATTGTTTTGCTAAAAACGATAATATTACTAGTCTGTACATTTTGTACATTTGTTGCTTTAAAAATAATCTAAAATGTCAATATTCCATGGATATATTGATAAATGAGGTCTAAATTAAAAGAAAATGCATTTTCTACCAAAACTTGAAGGGATAGGTAAAAAATGGTATAATACAATTTGATAGACAATTTAATTGTGCATCTGATTCTCCTAAAATATAAATCCTTCATTAAATATTTAGTATTAAAAACATTGATACCCTTGGAGAAATGAAGCTTTAAAATTTTTACTGCAATTTCACAAAATTGAAAATATTTCAAAAACGGTAAGGTTTAAGTATAATAAACCATAATCAAATTTATCTTTATTTTAATCGTAGAAACTAAAAATGTAATAATATACAGGGTGTTCCATTTAAAAAAATACAACTTTGATATTTTTTATTTATTTGGGACACTCTGTATCTTGTAAAAATATTTTTAAATTGTAGCTCTAATAGTCCTTCAACGAACCCCAAACTTACAATTTGTAAAAATATCATCGTTTAGCCACAATACTCCGTGTCGTATGTGGTGAACAACCCTGTATACATATTCTTAAAACTAAAAGAATTTCAGATTTCCATTGTCTTTATGTATTTTGCTTACACAACGTTTCGGTCAAAAGTATCACTAACCGTTATCGCAATGGCTAACTCATTTTTTGATATTTTTTTCAGAAGAGCGGTTTAAAGTTTTTTTACGACTTTTGTTTTATTACTAACCAAAATATATTGAAGCTACTGTGTTCCTTGTTTGTTAAAGAAACACAGTGACCACAATATATTTTGGTTGGCATTGAGACAAAAGTAGTAAGAAGCTTTAAACCGCTCGGCTCCCGAAAAATATCTAAAAAGCACTTCAAGAAATGAATTAAATCGCTTACTAAACTGATACTGTGAAGAATACCTACATATTCTTACTTAACCATAATTTTAGAGTGGTTTTAAAAAATCACATCAAGCTTTAACCTGTGAATAAATATATCATCATCGACATATCATCTTAAGGCATTTTTTTATCTTTTGAACTATTATTTTTTATTTTTATCTGTTTTGACAACTACTACTTTTACTGCAGACTTCAGACCATCATGTAACCCCAATGAGTAATCGGTGTATACATTTCAGTCTACAGAGCAAATGCATTATCTCCAAAATCAATTTGTAGCATTTATTATACTTATAGGTCTACCGTAAGATTTCTCTACCACTTTACTACATGTTACTTTCCTAAACGGCATCAAAACTACTTAACTTGACAAATGAAACTAGAATTGCAGGTCTTAAGATCAATATTAAAAAAAACAAGTCGATGAGAGTTTGTATCAACAATGTCGCTCCCTTTATCATTAGAACAACACCTATAGAGGAGGTAAATAATTTTACTTACTTGGGTAGTATAATCTCAACCAACGGAGGCACAAAGCAAGATATAATAAATAGAATAACCAATGCCAAAATTACATTTGGAATGGTCAACAATATTGGAAGATCTAGACAGTACTCTCAACTTACCAAACTTAAAATTTTCAATTCGAATGTCAAGTCACTATTGCTGTATCGTGCAGAGACCTTGAAAATTACACCGCCATTAATTAAGAAACTCCAAGTATTCATAAACTGCTGTCTGCGAAAAACTGTAGGAATATTCTGGCCAATTCAGAAATTAGGATTCATGGAGCTTAACTAACCAGAGGAAATGGAAGTGGATTAGTCACACGTCACTCATTAAGGCAAAGCGGCAACAACATCGCTGGCAGAGCTATTGAATCGAACTCACAAGGCAGTAGAAGAACTGATCGTCCAAGACACGCATGGCAAAGGACAATTAGAAAGGACATCGAGTGAGTAAACCGATCATGGTGAGATGTCAAATCAATTGCAAACAACCCAACCCGCTGGGGAGCATTTATTGAAGCCCTATGCTCCACGTAGGAGTAAAGGACAAAATGGATGACTTTCCCAAATAGTAATGGTACAAAATTGAGCAACTATACAGAGGTTCTGTTTCTGTAACGGCATTGAAAATAATATAATAAATTATTTAGCTGCCTTTTTAGAAGTACGGTGATGTTTAACCATGTAGAATGTAAGGAAATTTGGAGAAAACATATATATTTGTTAGTTACATTCTCTCAAGCCATAGAAAATCACTTACCATGGATCATCGAAATATTAAAGCACAAATACAAAGAGTCTTTGATATGTATTTTTCTACAAGCATTCATGCTACTTGTAAAAGATCTTAGGTATTACTGGATGTCTGATTGAGCTATACGCAATTTTAAATGATATATTGAAGAGGTACGACATAGAAGCTGGTACGCTCTATAGGCGACTTTCCTCTAGTACATCTTAATAATTATTGTATTAAGGATGATTCTCAGTACACTGGACCGTGCCCGAGCCGGGCACGTTCCGTGAAGTAGACGCCGAGTCACGTCCGAGCTTTCTGTATATGCAACACCGAGTTGATAACGGGGTTCGTATTAGTTCCGAGTATATTAGAAAACACAGCCCCATAGACACACGAAGATTTAATACGAACAATGCCAAAGTTCTCGAAATTGAAATTGGTACCTATTGCAGTTGATGAATAAAGAACAACACCTGCAGGGGAAACACCTGCTCAAAGGAAAAGATGAAGGACCTATCTTCTTCATTACATCCTTTCATTGTCCAGTTTTACGCCTGTCGTCAAATACTGCTGGAAGATTCACTAATACTTACTACAAAAAAAGTGTACTTTGTTTATATCATGACTGCAGATTGCAGTCGGGGCACCAGAAAAAGTACATTCATGCTTTCCGCAAAGTGGCGGGAACGGAGCGGATCCGAGAAAAAAATGTACGCCGACATTTCTGGGACGGGGCACGGACGAGTTCCGGCGAAGTTCGGATCGTGCTCGGCCTGGCATGAATGTATATGTGTAAAGAACACTTGACAATGTTTGGCCGTGTCTTCACCGACGCACGGCTCGGACCCGTTACGGTGTAGCATGAAGCATCCTTTAGCCATATCTAAAAGGGTATTATTAATTTGGTCACGTTATGTTTAATTTTATTGAAAAACTCCAACATCATTGAGAATAACAGTTAATACAACATCATCATCATCATCATTGTCAACTTATTCAACCATTTCCAATTATGGTGTAGCCTCCCTCACATGTTTATATACTCTCTTTTTAATTGAGCCCATTGTTGTCTGTTGTTGGCTCTGCGGGCCCAAGTTATCCCTACTAATTTCTTTATTGCTGGCTGTATTTAGTTCGATAATTCGTGTTTGTAGTTCTCCAGGACTATTGGCAATTAGGACGTCATTAGCGAATCTTATATTCTCCATCTATTTTTAATCCTTTTTTTTTGGTCCGGTCCAGTTGACGGAAGATTTATTCAAATTTTGCTGTAAACAGCTTTGGGAATATCGCGTTTCCCTGTCGTACTCCTTTGCCAGATGGGAATTTGGAGGCTGTTTTATATACCATTACTCTTGCTTTGGCTTCTTTGTATATATTGGCGATAGTTTCTATATAAGGCCTGTCAATACCGTGTTTCGCTAGGGCCTTTATTATTTCCTTAGGATAGATTGAGTCGAAAGTTCGTATTCTTTTGTTCAGCTGATAGTTTCTCTTAGTGTATGCAGAATCTAGATTTTTAAAATATGTTTATTTATTGTTTCATTATACTGATAATATTCATTAAACTTTAATGGTATGATATTTAAATTCTTTATTACATATTGATATTATTTTACAGATTCTTCGAAACCCTTATCCATCTGCTGAAAAGCAGTTTTGGTACGGGTATCCTTGCAATGCCACTGGCCTTCTCACACTCTGGATGGGTGTTGGGAATCATTGGCACGGCGTTCATAGGTCTACTCTGCACGTACTGCATGCACATGCTGGTCAAAACAGAGTACGACCTGTGCAAGAAAAAACAAGTACCCAGCATGACGTACCCCGCTACTGCGGAAGCTGCCTTAATGGAAGGACCTAGGTTTATGGCTAAAGTAGCACCGTATTCGGGGTAAGAAATGTGATACTTCTATTTATTTTTTTATTTTGTTGCTATATGCTTGGTTACGTATATATAAATGTTTATGTTATAGCACTCACATTTTCATATATTTATTTTAAAAAAAAATCTATTTAATTATTGTATCAAAACTAAGGAATTATTTAACTCTGTAATTAATATAGTCTGTCCTGTAACTGACATGTCTGTGACTCAGACACAGAAGACAGACGACATCCGAAAAATGACAATAAATACAATTTGCCTATGAATTAAAATGACAGACACAACTGTCACTGATGCCGGGGATCCTCCTGTTGGACAGACTATACTAGCGATTTTTCAAGTCCACATATCGTGTGGTTATAAGTTTGTGGGTATAAGTTTTTAACTAAAAACTAAAAAAAAATTCCAAAACATTTTTCAAAAAATTCAGATTTTTTTTTCGCGAAAAAAACCTCATAGGCGTCCAATTCCTCATAAATATAACTTGTTTACTTTTTTCCTCTCGACTTGTGACCCTTGTATTTTTATTAAAGGTTTTTGTATAGCTTTCCAGAAATTTCTTAATTAGGATTCTAATTAAAACTATCTCATTCGCCAAATTTGTCGGGCGTGTCCGTTGACGTAAACAAGTCTGTGACAGCGAGGGGCTCGAAAACTACGCAAAACAAACCTTGCCAGCCAAGTTTTGGACTTATAAGCCACCGGACTTTGATACGCGTGATTTTTGTTTTTCCAATTGATAAATTTTTGCCATGACGTAGACGACATAACGGAGTTAAAAAAGATAAACAAAACATGACGAAAAATATTTTTTTGGGGCTCAGAAAGTGTTTTTCATTCATTTGGCATAGAGTTTGTTTTTTATATATACTTTGTAACAAATTGCTTTTAAGTATCATTAATATTATGGGACAAATTTCTTTCTTATAAGAATTTTTAAGAAATGCTAATATTACCATCGGTTACAAATAAAATATTACTGACTTAAAGAGACTTTCCTAGAAATACAAACACTAGAACATGGTAATAATAGGTGATTAAATTCTAAATGGTACGAAGTTACACTAGTTTTAACTCATCATACAGTCTCAGGGCTTTGACAAAAGCCAATATCTGAGACTACTTACTTTAGTTTCACAGATATTTCTTCTCTATCTTCGATATCAGTCGTATCAAAGTTTATGGTACGAATGGTTGTCGTCTCGGCACACTCAGTGATGAGGTGTTCTGATATTTCCCCATTTTCCCCACAGATCTGCATTCGCCGTTGTTTCTTAGCTTCAATTTCCGAGGTGTTCGTTGAGTGACACTGATGAGATAGAGACTGTATGATGAGTTATAACTCGTTATAGCTCAAGAAAGGGGGACACACAATAGATCTGTAAGGTCGCGGTGATTAACTCCCCTCCCAAATATTCTACATTTCACACTGGTTTTCATTACTGTGCAAATGATGCAAACCAATATATTGAAATTGGTACATTGTTTGCATAGGGTTTGTCTCTTATATAAAGACACTATATAGCGTGTACCCGCGACTTCGTTCGCGTCGAATTAATTATTTGTAATGGTGATGATAAAGCAAAGCAAGAATTTCCATTAACATACAAACTGGATAAAATTTTCTCACATTTATGTCAGCATGAGAAAAAACAATCGAGAAACCCCTCCTTATCGAACCTCTATACCCCACAGTCAATCCGTTTGCCAAAAATCAGCTTTAAACGTCAAGCAGTTTAAGCAGAATCGTGATTACTCAATGGTCATATTTTATGAAACAACCTGTATAAATTTTTAAAAAATCTTAAACTATGTAAAATAACAACATACGTGTTAGAGTTTTTCCGAAAAACTCACCGGTTTTTAAATAAAACATATTCTAATATTTGAGGGGTGGTTTCACCCCCTTAGTTTTTTCAGAAACTTGGCCGTTTTTTAAATAAAAATATTGTAATATTTGAGGGGCGGTTTCGCCCCCTTGGGACTGGAATTTCGAAAAATCCCTTCTTATCGAACCTCTACATCCTAGAATCAACCTGTATGCCAAAAAATTGTCATTTGAAAAAAAAAATTCAGTTTGTCAGCGACTGTCTTCTGAGTGTAAAATAAACAATATCGGAAATTTTCCCCTTGCGGTTTTTGAGCAATAGGGGTGGTTTTTGTACATAGGGACATTCTCTATAAGTTCGCCTAATAATTTTTTTTTAAATTATTATTTCCAGACTTAGCGGCCGTTTCATGAGCCCTTTGGGGTTGTTTTCAAAAAGTTTGTTTTACAGCAAATTGACTCGTATGAAAGTTGTTCATAATAAATGGACAAGTAACTTTTCCTGATGATTTTTTTTGTAGGTTCATTATTTTTGGAGATAGCGTCCAGTTCATGAAGAAATTGGGGTAGTTTCATAATTTTTGTTTAGTTCTACAAATTTACTAACTTAAAGGTGTTCACGAGGGGTGTCTCACTTGGGTAAAAAATGTACATGTACTGCCAAAATATCATGTTACTCGCAAGCGACTGCCAATGACTGCGAAGAAGACTGCCTATGACTGCCATGTAATTATTATAGGCGACTGCCGTAAGACTGCCAATGACTGCCAGCGACTTCCAAGAAAATGTACATGTAATTCCAATAGTGAGACACCCCTCGGGTGTTCATATTAAAATTACATGCAAACTTCCCTATGATATGTATTTATTTCCCCAAAACGAAACATGGAATTCATCAAGTGAATGAATATTGTGTTTTTTCCTGAAAAAAAAGACATTTAAAGCTACCACCACTTGTTCATGATCTGGGCGCTATCTCCAAAAATAATCAAGCTACAAAAAATCATGAGGAAAACTTGCTTGTCCATTTATTATGAAGAACTTTCATACGGGTCAATTTGCTGTAAAACAAACTTTTTGAAAACCACCCCAAAGGGCTCATGAAAGGGCCGCTAAGTCCGCAAATAATAAACTTATAAAAAAATAATTAGGCGAACGTATAGAGAATGTTCTTATGTACAATTTGCGTCTAATTATTTTGTTTCAGTACAGTTTTAAAAAAACCACAACTATTGCTCAAAAACCGCAAAGGGAAAATTTCCGATTTTGTTAATTTTACACTCAGACAGTCGCTGACAAACTCTGAAAAAATCAGCTTGCCCGTAATTTTTTTTTACTCTCTATACAGCGATTCCATTTTACTGGATAATGAATGGTTTGAGCAGGATCGTGATTAATCAGTGAGTCACTTAAGGATTTTATATATTAGTATAGATTAATTTATAAGTCTAAACATTCATATCTTTATAGTTATTTTTTGAAAAATAAGATAGTTTACTCTTTAGTAATGTTGCCATTCCATGATACACTTTAAATTAAAATACCTGTTTTAGTAAAATGATTTCGAGTATTTACACTGCCATCACAACATTTTGACTAGGGTTCAGAACCGGAAAATCGAAAAATCGTCTTGAAAATTTCCGGTTTTCTTGAACCGTCTAAGAACTTCTTGAATATTAAAAATGATATCTATTTATTTTTTGGAATTTGAAAAAATTAAGATATTGCGTTGTTTGTATCTTTTGTAATTTATTACAAAAAATAGATCCTAAAGCCAACCAATTTATTTATAAAATGGAGATGCAAAATCGGAAATTGCGAGCTCATTAGCACCAGACTTGGATTCACGTGATTTTATTTTTCCAATTGAAAGATTTCCGCGATGACGTATGTACGCTGCATGGTGAAATATAAATAGAACAGAAAATATTTATTTATCGTTTGGCAGGCAGTTTGTTTTCACTCTACAGTTTGTCTCAAATATTGCCAATATTCTCTATTGAGAAATTGTCACTTTTTATCAGATGCATATAGGGTGATTCTAACAAGTTCTCTGCTATAAACTATATTTAATTCAAGAATCGAGAAAATGCCAATAACTTACAATATTACACATTTTAATAATTTCAGATCAGATTTTTACTTATCGCAATTGTCGGTTACATCTTTCATAGCCTTCAATAATTTTTGAATTTTTTTAACTTTCCCTGGGTAGCTGATATCGAAGTCATAGTTCCTTTTTTTATAAGTTGTTCCATGGCATCTATGCTGATATCATTTTCTTAAATATCATGTTTTTAATTTTCTTCTTATAGTCTTTCTAAGTTAATTGTGTTATTTCTTTGGGTAACATATTGTATTTTATGGTAGTTTCTGTTGTTAGTTTTTATAAAAGTTTCTTTTGAGTTCTCTTGGCTGTTCTGATGTCTGATTTTTTTTCTAGTTTCATAAGTGTGTATTTGTTTGTTAGCTCTAAAAGTAATATTTGTTTTTATTAATTTGATTTTCTGCAGAAGTAATATGTTATGCTAATTTTTTAATTGTTTTATGTTCAGTTCCTTTGATTTCTAGTATTCTTCTTCTGTTGGTGTTGTAGAGATTAAATGTGTTGTTGTCTAGATTAAATATTATTGTTTGTATTTTATTTTATTGCCTTTGTAACATGTTTAAGTTTTTTTCTGTTGTATTGCTTCACGTATTATTAAATATATATATTCTTAGTTGAGAATATCGCTCGATATATTGGATTCCTAATTTTTGGTGTTATTATGTTTTATAGTTTTAGGAGTGTGGCAATTGTTCTGGCGTTTTCTTTTTTTAAACTGTTTACATATTTGTCCAATTTTAAATTATTATGCATCTGCATTCCTAGATATTTGCTTCAAACTATAACTTCTAATATATTTTTTTTATTTTTTGCTCCTTTAGAGCAAATTCTGTTGTTTGTAGTTTTATGATGAATCCTATACCGGGTGTTGCATCGTCGGACGGGACATAGGAAATAGGCCTGTTCCAAACACCGGAACACCGTTTTAACACCGGTGTTGGGCTGACACCGGTGGCCAAATATAGGCTATCCGGTGCTCCGGTGTCGACACCGACACCGGTGTTGACACCGACACCGATGTTGGTCTGGACACCGGTGTTCATCTCGATACCGGTTTTGACTACGCCACCG